TCTTCTCTGTATATCTGACTTTGCAACAATAACAACAAAAAAGAAATAAATCTTTAAAAAAATACCAAAAAAAATCTCTCTATTAATGAGTAAGTCGACATTAACAATGGCTTACATACTTCTAAGATTAAATTAGTCATGGGCAAATAACTCTGAAGCCAAGTACATTGACAAAAATCATGTTTCTGAACCAATAGGAGAAAAGACCAAAAAATAACAAGTAGCCACAGTGAACTGTAGCATTAAAAAATTCCTGGGATTATATATATATTATAATATACATACTATATAATATATATATCCTCTCCTTTCCTGATAAATAGAAATAAGTAAATAATACAAGAATGAAAGAAAAAGAGAAGGAGGGTGAGATGGAGAAAGGGGGAGAGAGAGAAAGAAGTGCCCATCCTGTCACACCTTGAGAAACAAGCTAAGCTGTGGAGTTAACCCCTGGGAGACCGGGGCCTACACTATAGTATTTTCTCAACTGGCTAATCCTCCACCTCCACGTGCCAGGATCTTGTACGCAGGTAGAAGTCCTAAAAGAAGCTTCTAGGTTCTGACTTTGGATCAGCTCAGCTCCAGGTGTTGCAACCATTTGGGGATGAAACAGAGGATAGAAAATCTTTCTTACTGTCTCTGTTTCTCTCTGTAAATCTGCCTTCCCAGTAAAGAAAAATAAAGTCCTGCTCAAGTTTAAAAGACATGACTATTTAATGAATATCAGAACCAGAGTGTGAAAATTAGTAGAGGGGCCTGGTGTGGTAGCATAATGCCTAAAGTGCTCACTTTGCATGTGCCAAGATCCCATATGGGCACCCATTGTACCCCTGCTGTTTCACTACCCTTCCAAGTCCCTGCTTGTGGCCTGGGAAGGCAGTAGAGGACAGCCCAAAGCCTTGGGACCCTGCACCCGTGTAGGAGACCCAGAAGAAGCTCATGGCCTTTGGCTTCAGGTTGATTCAATTCCAGCCATTGCGGTCACTTGGGGAGTGAACCAGCGGATGGAAAATCTTCATCTCTTCTTCTCTATGTAAATATGCCTTTCCAATAAAAATAAATTCTAAAAAAAAAGTTAGTAGAGAATTAGAAATGAGGAAATAGGATCCGATGTGATAGCCTAGTGGCTAAATCCTTGCCTTGCATCCACCAGGGTTCCATAGTGGTGCTGGTTCATGTCCTGGCTGCTCCTCTTGCCATCCTGTTCTCTGCTTGTGGCCTGGGAAAGCAGCAGAGGATGCCCCAAAGTCTTGGGACCCTTCACCGATGTGAGATACCAAGAAGAAGCTCTTGGTTCCTGGTTTCAGATTGGCTCAGCTCCGGTCGTTGTGGCCACATGGAAAGTCAATTAGTGGATGGAATATCTCTCTGTGTATCTGCCTTTCCAATTAAAAAAACAAAATAAATCTTTAAAAATTAATGAGGAAATAATGTGTATGATATAAACTATAAAGTTGTTGCCTGGGATGCTTGCATCTACTTATTTTGGCGTACTTAATTCTAGAAGCCTGGTTATACTGCTTCTCATCCAGCTTCCTGCTCATGTGCACGTGCGGAGGCAGCAGATGATGGCTCAAAAGCTTGAGTCCCTACTACCCATTTGGAAAACCCAGAATGAACTGTGGGCTTCTGTCTAGCCAGAGTTCGCTGTTGTGGGCAACTGTTGGAGTGAAGCAGTAAATGAAAGTTTTCTCTCCAACTGCCTTGCTCCTTCTATGACTCTGCAAGAAAGAAAAACAAAGAAAGAAAAGAAGGAAGGAAAAAAGAGAATGAGAGGAAACAAAAGAGAAAGCGGGAAAAAATGATGAAGTGACAAAGTTTAGGTTGTATACTATCATTCCCCTGTGAGCATTTTTATCTATTTTCATTCGTTTTTGAAAAGCAGAAAAGCAGGCAATGAGAGGCAGAGAAGCAGTGATCTTTTATATCCTGATTCACTCCCCAGATCCCTGCAGTCAAGGCCGAGCCGGGCCAAGGACAAGAACCCAGTATTCTATTGGTGTCTCCCACATACGTGGCACAGCCCCAGGTACAGCCACCATTTGTTGCCTTCCAAGACATGTGTTAGCAGGAAGCTGGACCTGAAACAGATTCATTGGAGTTCAAGCTGGGCACCCTGCCAAGGGGTGTGGGCATTGCTAGGAGTGGCCTGGCCAGATGCTCTTCCTCACCCCTGCAGGTCTGCAGCAGCCTGAGCCCTTTGTGCCAACTTACGTATCCACTTATGTAACTACATTTGTGTATATAGTTAATTTTATTAAATTTCTCTTAATAGATCATAACTAAAATGAGATGATTATTTTCACTGTATACATATATGTAAATATATGCATTGAATTAAAGAGGAAAAGGAAATTCAGGAAACAGTTGCTTACAAGGATTTCAACTTCAAATCTTATATATCGACTTCAGAATCATTTAGAATCTATTATCTAAGGACACATTTTATTCGTAAAATGTCAGATCTTTGCCCATTTTTACAGAAGAACCAGTAAATATTAGCATAAATTGCAGGATGATATGCAAATTACATACTGAAGAGTTCATGGAAGAAGAAATTCAAAGAAGAATAGCCAGAGAAAGACCCTTTTTTGCAGAATTTTGCAGACAGATCCCAACAAGTATGTTACTTGACGGAATTTAGTTCATAGATTCCAAATGCCTTATTTTTAAAAACCAAAATAGTGGAGCCAGGCTGGTGGCACACCAAGTTATCTGGCCGGTTCCAACATCAGCACCCCATACCAGGGCACTGCCTGTGTGTGATTCTGCATGCTCTGCATCCAATCCAGTGTCCAGCTAATGCACCTGGGAAAGCAGTAGGTGATGGCACAGATGTTCAGGCCTCTGGAGACCAGCTGGAATTCCAGCTCCTGGCTTTGGCCTAACACATCCCTGGACATTTTGTTCATTTGGGGAAAGAACAGGTACATGGAAGATCTCTTTCTCTCTCTCTCTCGTTGTCTTTCCAATAAACAGATACATCTTTCTAAAAATAAATGAAAGTCAAATCTTTTGAGGTTTCAACTAAGCACAAAAGCTTAAAACAGAAGTTGATGTGAGTGTAGCAATTCAATGAATCCTCTTTGTTTCAATGTATACAGCAATATCGCTGATTATCTGTAGTATCCTCATGAGTCTCTTGCCTTAATTGTCTTACCTCGAGATTTGCCTTTAGAAATGGCATGATGGAAGTAACAGGATCCTGCTGGCCTTTCTCTTTCCTGGCTGATACTTGACCCCGCCTCTTGCTGTGTCTGGCTCGGGAATCTGGTGCGCACGAGAGAACTAGTGCTACCACAGCACAGACCGAGACAGGAAAGGTCACTCAGGGCCCCCACCTGCCTCACCCTACGAATTCCTCACGGTCCAACAAGAACTCCTATTGTCTTACCTCTATTCACAGCTCACCAAAAAAAAGAAAAAAAAAGAGAGACCTGGCAGAGCCTAACCGAGGCTGCACAATCTCACTTTCTTAGAAAGAATGAGAGAAATTGGGAGAGAGGAAAGCAGGAGTTGGGCAGTGATTCAATGTGTCTATCTTTTTATGTTTCTGACTACAACGATAAGTCAATATTTTCATGAGTGAACTTACTTCCAGTTAAGAGATGGAAGCCTACTATTATTAAGCACCTATTTTATATGCTCCAACTGCGTATACCTATTCAGTCAGTCTTGGTGTCATCTAGGAGAATCAGGGATTGTTTTTCCCCAGGTAACTAAAACCCCAAATCCCAGTCTGTGGTTGACCCGTAATTCAGATGTGGATTGCTTCATTTCCATGCAAAGCTCCAAAGACAATCTTATGTAAAATTTCAACAACTTCTTTCGGTTTCTAATGAAGCAGAGAGGGAAAGAAATCGCGCATATGAAAGGAGTCCGGCCACCGACGTCCAAAGCTCACAGCCTTGGAGTGGGGGTGGCGACTGCTCTTCTTCCCCGGCGTGTCACTTCAGGTGGAGCCACCTCGGGACGCCCGGGGGATTGCAAAGGTCGCGGCGGCAGCGGAAGTGCCAAGGGGTACTGCCAGGAGAGCAGACGTGAGGAGAAGCTTTAGCATTCGTGTCTGATCTGTTCTCGTCCATTCTCGCCTAGGAGCTAATGGCCACGTCTTCCTCCACTCCTCCAGTCTGCTTTCCTCCGAGGTTTTCCCATCACTCCCCCATTCAGAGAATCGGATAGAGTCACGCTTCCCTGAAGCCCCCGTGGCTGGCCCGCCCTGCCCATTTGCCGCCCTAGCTCTGAATGCTGGTTCTCAGCTCTGGCCCACCTGTTCTCTTAGCCTTGGCCTCCCGGGCCCTCTCTGCACTCCCGCCCTTGTCCCATCCGTGCTGTTGGCCGAGACGCCCCCGGCGGTGCACGTCTAAATCAACTCCACCTGCTTAGTCTTCTCACCGGTGGTCAAACTGGGTCTCCCTAAACGCACTACCCTTAGTCCCCTGTGAACTTGCTGATCCGTTTTTACTATTTCAAGCGTCACATGGGTTTAGTGCTCTGACTTGAGTTAGGTGAATGAGTGAATGAATGACTGAAGGGATTTGAGTCGGTCTTCCTTGCCACCAACATGAAAATAACTCGGGTTTCCAGCGTGGCTAGCCCTGGCATGCTCACCCGTGCGCGGCTCCACCGTCTGGAGGGGGCAGTCCCACAGCGCGCTCGGGCTCTCTCCCGCCAGGTGTACTTCTGGCTGGCGCCTCGCCTGAGCCGGGGCAGGTGAGGCGCAGACGAAGGGCAAAGTGAAGCCGCGAGCGCCCGATCCCCAGAGGGGTGCGCAGGCGGCGCCAGGCGCGCCTCGAGGCCCGTCGCCGGTCACCGCCCCGGAGCGACTTCCTCCTTGGGGGCCGGCGCGTGAGGCGGGACGGGGCGGGGCGGCCAGGGGACGCCCCCGCCCCGCTGGGCTCAGGGCCGCCCCAATGGGATTCGATGCGGGGCAGCGGCTGCGCCGGTTCCCGGCGGCGGGGCGCTCGGCCGCTGAGGAGGCGGCCCGCTCCGGGTAGCCACGGCGCAGGGCCCGTCGAGGGGAGACCGAGCTTGCCAAGCTGACGCCTGGCGAGGCCATGGAGCCCGGCGCCCGCGGTGCACCGCTGGCGGGGCCCGCCGGCCCGGGCCTCCTGACCCTGTTGCTGGCCGTCTCCGCCCCGCTCCGGCTGCAGGCGGAGGAGCTGGGTGAGTGGAGTGCGTTCGGCGGGCTGCAGGATCCGGGGCGCTGCGGGCGGGCTCCCGGTAGGGCCAGGCCCGGAGGCACCGTGCACGGGGGCAAGTCCGAGCTCTCTGCCTGCACCACCGCGTCTGGCTCTGCCAGTGACGGCTCGGGGAGGGGTGGGGTTGGGGGGCACGAAAGTCACTGCATTCCAGATCACGCCCCCACCAAACTCCTTAGCCGACGCACGCCAAAACAAGAAAATCAACGTGGCGTTTCTTCACTTTTCTTTGCTGCCCCGATGCTCCCACCCCCAAATCCCCCACCCCCAGCCCGGCTTGCTTAGTTTCCAGACTTCCTGACTATCGGCGCGGGGAGAAGGGACGCTTGGGCTGCCCTAGGAGAGAGCTGAAGCGCAGGGATGGGACTCCCCAGAGTGTTGTTGGCTTGGCGGCCGCGCGTGGCATTGGAATCCCGGCGCGTGCGTTTGCCTGCTTGCACCGACTAGTTGGGCACTGCTTTCCCGAGTTTGGCCTCGGAAGCAGGCTGGCAGACGGCGCCACCGCCTCCTCGTCTGTGCCCCGCTTGCGCCCCCGGTTGTAGTCTTGTGGCTTGGATCCCTCTTGGCCATTTGAGTGACTGTTTGCCTACGATAGTACATTTTCTCTGCAGCACCTGGTGCTTGGTCTCCAGTCAAACTTGATTGACTCATAACCAAGTTTACCCTCTGCCTAGCACCCAGATCAGAGCAGGAAACCGGTTTGCCAGCCTTAAATGGTTCTACTCATTAATCCTCGCTAATTAGCTCCTTTTTGATAGCAGGAGCCAGCCTTCTGCCTTTTTGTGGCTCTCTCTGCTCCATGCTTCTATTCCTAGATATCCAATGGGTAACAAACTCATTTGATGACTGTAATCTATCCAGTGGTTTTGGCGATTTCCCCCCACACCTATGGCTTCCTGGCAAAATAAGAATGAAAAGTAAAGCCAGTACTGGCGTGTTTTTTTTTTTTCTGCTCTGTTTTCATTCCAGTCTGAAACTTGGTTACTCAATATGTTGGTAGTAATTCCTAAATTTACAAACATGCCAGTTTGTTACAAAACAAACAAACTCAGAAGTTACTTTGTTTAGAGTCACTGCAGCCTAATGCTAAGTGTATCATGAAATGATAGCAAGGATGAAAGGTTTTATTAAATAATGTAGGACTTTTATAATGGAGGTTTTAAATATTGAAGCACTTGTCTTACTTAGTCACTGTCTGAAGATGCACTTTTACTAAGGCATGGCTGTGAATTGGCCCGGTAATGTGTCCTGGACTGATCTGGCCAAGTTGTGACCTCGCTTTCCGAATGAACTTTCAGATTTTATGTGGTCCTCCTAACTGAATTGGGTACTTTGTAGAAGGGTTCTCTGGGAACACATGTGATTGTTCAGATTCTTATTCGGCTTCAGACTTGAGGATTTAATGTCATTGACTAGAAGACAATATTTAACTTTCTGCTATATGTGCATTTAGGATGGAGAAACAGTTAAGGAGCAGGTACACAAAGTAGTTCAGCTTTGGGACATGTGACTAAAGGAGAAAAGCTGTCTTCTAGGCCCTCAGGTGCTGGCACATAGAGACGTAATAATCCAGTGCTGATAAGGACAGGCCTAACCCATTATTTTGAAATATTTCTTGTCTCTCATTTCTGGAGCTGACTCTTGGTCACTTTTCCAAGTGTTCATAAATATAAGCATAAACACATTTTGGGCCTAGCATGGTAGCCTAATGGCTAAAGTCCTCATTTTGCATGCACCAAGATCCCATATGGACAATAGTTTGTGTCCTGGTTGCCCCACTTCCCTTCCAGTTCCCTACTTGTGACCTGGGAAAGCAATCTAGGACGGCCCAAGGCTTTAGGACCCTGTCCCCTTGGTGGGAGACCCACAAGAGTCTCCTGGTTCCTGGTTTTGAATCAGCTCTACTCCAGCCATTGCAGCCACTTGGGGAGTGAACCAGTGGATGGAAGATCTTTTTCTCTGTCTCCTTCTCCCTGTAAATCTGCCTTCCTAATAAAAATAAATAAATCTTAAAAAAAAAAAAGTAAGCATGTACACACATTTTAAGTCTTGAGATCCGCTGCTGACTGTGTATTTGGATGGTGGGCATAAATTATATTCATGCTGTTGGGGTCTAGAAAATTGAGAAGGTTTGCTGGACGGGGAGCAGGATTGCCAGCAAAAGTACCACTATCTTAAAAGTTGCAGCAGGAATGCTGTTTTAGGAGTCAGCCCCTCCCAAAGTTTGAGAGAAACTGCCCCCCATGGAGTTTAGAAATGCAAACCAGCTCAACCCCACCTGCCACCCAACAGCCTAGAACCAGAAGTAAACCTGTTCCCATAAACACCTGTCTGTACCTTGAAGTGGTGGGCCCCTCTCTGGTTTGTTCCTGAATAAGCCTATTCTGATTGTGGAGTTCATGGTCGGCCTCATCTTTATGTTGTTCTTCCACCCTAACAGTTCGTGCTGGAGCCCCAGAGGGTTCAGGAGCTTGGTCCCTTTGCCCACATGGGTCCCTTGGAATCTCACATGGCTCATGGGCAGTTCTTCCTCCACCTGGCCAGGGACTTACACTGGGCTGCCCGATACATTCTGGGTGATGATTATGACTCTGTATCGCTTTTGATTTTTCCTTCTTTTCTGTGAGAAACTGAAGATAGGGAATATGAGTTGATCATAATCAGCTGGCTTTGTGGTACCCTTCATCCTTGGTTGAAAACCCCCAGCCATGCTCTTCTGAGCATCGATTAACTCCCACCAAAGATCTCTCCCACCCACCCTCCATCCCCCTTTTCTAATTCTGCCTGCTTCCTGCTCCAGCCCCAACCAACCTGATTAAATTGACCCTTACCTTCTTGTCCTATTTTGTTTAAAATTTTATTTTATTTGCTTTTATTGGAAAGTCAGATATACAGAGAGGAGGAGAGAAAGAGAGGAAGATCTTCCATCTGCTGGTTCACTCCCGAAGTGGCTGCAATGGCTGGAGCTGAGCTGATCCAAACCCAGGAGCCAGGAGTTTCTTCCAGGTCTCCCACACAGGTGCAGGGCCCTAAGGCTTTGGGCCATCTGCTACTTCTTTCCCAGGCTACAAGTAGGGCGCTAGAAGGGAAGTAGGGATGCCAGGATTAGAACTGGAACCCATATGGGATCCCAGTGCATGTAAGGTGAGAATTTTAGCCACTAGGCTACCACACAGACCTATTGCTGGATTCCTCTGTCACATACCATAGCCTACTTGGTTTCCAACAAATAGACTGGCTTCCTTCTCCCCAAGACTCCTGGGTCAGACCAGAATTGGCCATTCCTCCTCCTTTATTCTCTCTTGGAGGGCTGATGGAGGAACTTATTCCATGTACTGGACTAGAGATGCTTGACCCAACAGTGTGATCTTCTCTGTTCCTTGTGAAAAGATTCTGGTTGTGGCTAACTCATCCCTGGAGGATGTCTCAAAGTTAACCAAGGCCCAAGCTCCGGTTTATTGTCACCTATTCCATGAATTTGAAATTTCTCACATTCCTCTCAACTTGCCCCTAGCCCATCTAAAATAGCTGTCCACCTTGGGCCTAAAAGTGGAAGTAAAAAAGAAGTGATTTATTTTCTTCTATACTGCATCTTGACCTCAATATACATTGGATAATGATTCACAGTGCCAGGTTTTGGTTCTTTCAATTTCCAAATTCTTCTTGACCTTGAGTTCTTTACACAGAGAAATGACAAATAGAGGCCCTATGCATTCAAACCCTTTTCTTCCTCCAAGGTCACCCTTTCATAGCTCTTGTTCCACATTTGAAATTCTTCTGGAGCAAACAGAACTGAAGCCCTCTACCAAACCTTTTGCCCAGAGATTCCCTTTCCTCCTCATAACTTAGCAATCCTGATCTAACTGGTGATGGTCCAGCACATTCCTTCCTCCCCAGCCACCCTCAAGTTCCCACCTCCCAAACTCTCCACCAATATGCCATCTGACACCCTTCCCTCCTCCTTTTACTGGCTTGCAAGATCTACAACCCCAACCAGTTCTCCCCTTGAAAGAGGTGGCCGGAGTAGAAGCTGCAGTGATGGTCCCTTTCTCTTTGTCAGACCTTAGTCAGAGTGAGGAGTGCTTGGGCTCCTTCTCAGAGAACCCCTCTAAGTATTGAAAGGATCTCTCCATCTGACAAAGCCTTACACTGGAACTTGGCAGGAGCTCTGTCTCATTCTGTCCTTTGTAACTGGATGATTGAAAACACGTTTGATGTGCTGCTGAACACCATGCAGGTGTCACATCTCCAGGCCTCAGAAAGATACCCAGAGGCCATATGGGCCATCCCAGATTGGACCTACCAATCTGGAGACCCAGGGACACAGGCTCAATAGCACATGATTTCCCACCTGTTGGAGACAATGGATAAAAATAGCCACAAGCAGGTCAGCTATGATGAATTTCATGAAATCACACAGGAACCCAAAGACAACGTCAGTTTCTTAATGTCCTGCTTTACAAAGGCAATGGTGATATCTGCCAGTAAGGATCCCAATTCCAGAGAGGGATAGTTGCTTTTACACATCTTACTTGTAGTCTAGTTAGGCTCAGATGTCCAACACAAACTCAAAGCTGGAGGGTGGTCTACAAATCTCCCAAAGGACTCATCAGTATAGCTTTTCATACCTTCAATGATAGGAATGAGGAACTAAAGATTCAGAAGGATGAAAATACAGAATCAAAGCATCAGACGTTTGCCTCTCTGATCCACCAAACCCTTGACAAGTCTAACCACTGGGCACATGTCAGCCCTCCGAGAGATTGTTTTCAGTGCATGAATACTGGGCACTGGGCCACACCCTGGCCGAATCCAAAACCTCCCATTAAATCATGTTCCAGACACAAACATGGAGACACTAGAAGATGGACTGCCTCATGGGGAGCTCTCTCCCCACCTGGGACCATTCTCCATTCCGCCAGCTTCAGCACAGAACATCTCATCTCTGTTAAATTTAATAGAATG